TGATGATTACAAACCTTAACGCTATTCGTGAGATGATACGTTTGGTTAGGTTAGGTTAGCTGATAGGGAGGCGTCGTATAGACAGTGTCAGCAGAATACACAACATATATTTAATCAATTAATTTCTTTACAATTACAGATTGATAGACAACTTGACATCAACGTTATAAATATATACAATACGTCTTCAGTTTCCTCGTGAAGTTATATTGTCAGATTTGGATTATTTTTTTCCACCACACAGCAGAGAGACACACACCTTCCCGTGACCCAGTTACTGCGTCGCTCTCATACACAGTGGCCGCCTCAAGAAACAACAATGTGTCATAGTCATACAAGAAACATGAAATGCATCCGTGTGAGTACAAAGGCATGTAACGTAATCCAAGCACACACACACACACACACACACACACACTACCTTTACCTTCCCCACCCACCATCACCAACTATCGAGACGAACGCAAAGACTTTCTGCCTCTCACCTCCCTGCTCCGATTCCCGTCCCGTCCCGTCCCGTCCTGTCCCGTCCCGTCCCGTCCCGTCCCGCCCCGCCCCGCCCCGCCCCGCCCCGCCAACGACCAACTACTACATTTATTCATCAAGAAAGCTCGCTCCTCCGTCAGCAATACCCTGAGGGAGGGGAGAAGGAAGAGGAGGTGCAGCTCTCAAGGACGCTGTTTGAGAGAAGAATCATGAAGAGCGGGTGTGAGCTGGTTTTCCTGGCGTGGGGAGAGGGGGGGGGGCGGAGGAAGAGAAGGAAGTGGAGGAGGAGAAGGTAGAAGGGGGAGGAGGACGGCGATGAGGAGAAGGAAGAAGGAGGAAGAGGAAGAGAAGGAGGAGGAAGGGGAGAGGCCTGACAAGAGGCAATATACCACAAGCTTCAGACGAGTGATCAGTAGGCGTCATGCACTCGTTGGCCCGCGGTGAGGGATTGCGGTAGCAGGAGGAGACAGAGAGAAGGAAGAAAAGAATGGACGAAGGTTAAGGGTAAACTTCACTTTTATTAGAAACGTGAGACAGTTGTGAGTTCTGGTAAACTTGCTGTTTACAAATCGCTGCTGGGTAATTTCAAACGGCTTAAATAAATTTGTAAGAGGTATCTCTGACACGACAGCTGTTCTCCAGAGTGCACAATTCAAGCACCTTGACATCCGAGTCGTATGTAGGTCACGACCTCATCAACATGCAGGAGATAACCGAGGTATCTGTCGGGGGTACGGAGGAACACTAGCAGCGGGTCGTGCCTTCTCGATCACAATCCTCTGAGTCCCTGCTAAGAACTTCTCCTTAGTGGCTGCTGGGTACACAACAGCCTGTGCATCGATTATTCTTGCGGAGGAGAGTTCCTCTGTGGTTATGGCGGGCCAGGGTGAACTTCACCTCTGGTAGATAACTACGAGCATCACTCACCTAATACCTTAATGCGTTAACTGCGAGACTCAAATTTTTAGATTAGTTTGAGTGACATTCAACAGATATATACATATATGGTTTTCTCTGGTAGATATATTCAGCTGGATTAAAGAATAAGTCTGTGACGACCACCAACCACATATTGATTCTCGTGCAAGTAGAACACCGGAGGTAAGAGTCTCCCTTGGGTGTCAACCTCAGATTATATTGACAAAAACCTGGAAAACTCTAGCATCTCAGGACGAATCTACCGTGATCATGATCTCCCTCTGACACAACACACTTCCATATCGCATTCTGCAATAGTAAGGTGGAGATTATTTAAACGTTTGCGTTTCTACAGGAGAGTGAGAAAACACAGCAGTAGGTACACGCGCTGTATGTGGTGGAACACGAGGGTGCACAGCTATTAGAATTCTTGCGGACTATTTTCTTCCCAGGGGCGTCGTTGTCGTGAAGGAACGCCCACACGTACGCTGATAAGTTTTCTACTGCTGCGTGCACACGTAAGCTGATGACGAAGACGTCGTGTGTGAGTGGAAACACTTCTGCGGCGCCTCCCACAACACCAGCACCGCCCACTTACTGATACAACCCAACTCTTTGTTCGTCTTCACACTCACTCCAGGACGGGTATGAAGATGAAACACCCATCTAGACGCTCTTCGGGTTCTTCCGATACCGCGTAAGGTAGTTCTAGCTGTGACGTTATCCTGGAATAGTGACAACTGAGCGCCGGGTGTAGGAGCTGTGTGTCTCATAGGAAGAAGACGAGAACACTTGTTGCAGGAGGTGTCACTTAGTACCAGAGGGCGGGGGAGTCTGGCTGGGCTGGGCGTGTCAGCATCCACCGGTCCACCTTGATACGAGCACCAACAACATTCAAGAGGTTCTTTATAAATTCATTACTGGAGGAAAGCCAAGTCTCTTCGGTAACCTGAAAATTCACCCCTAATTTATGTTGGTGGGTGTTGGTGGGTGCTGGCGGGTGTTGAGTAGTGAGAGGGTGTAACTTTCTAATGTCATCACCAATCAAATCTCGGAGTGAATAGATGAGACACATTGATTAGCTGAAAGCGCCCATGTTTGAACCAAGAGGATAACACTACCAGCTAATCAACGTATCTTTGGTTGCCATCCGGGGATATGATTGGCTCATCTGGGAGACTACACAGTTACCGATGTAACTACCACACAGGGAGGGCTTCAACTAACCTTAAGTCTGACCAAAACCACTGGTGCTGAGAGCCCAGACCAAAACAAGAGAGAATCGAGATAAAAACAATAGAGAATCAAGACCAAGACAAAAGAGAATCGAGACCCAAACAAGAGAGAATTGAGACCAAAAACAAGAGAGAATCTAAAGCAAAACAACAGAGAATCGAGACCAAAACAACAGAGAATTGGGACCAAAAACAACAGAGAATCTAAAACAAAATAACAAAGACTCGAAATCAAAACAACAGAGAAACGAGACCAAAAAAGCTCACCTGGGAGACTCGACAGGTGTTGCCTTACAGTAAAGAGATACGGAATAAATGACTGACACATCACATCCTGCGATAATGAAGATGAGTCGTAGTTTTTATTAGCTAATGCATAATATACAAATGAGGAGGAAGAGCTTAATCATTCACCCTAATTAAGTGCTCTAAATTATATCCACCACTTATAATGTTTCAAAATTACTAAAACAATTTGTAATATACATATATATATATATATATATATATATATATATATATATATATATATATATATATATATATATATATATATATATATATATATATATACACAGGTGTCCTGTAGTAAGGTTAGCATATGACAGGTGTCCTGTAGTAAGGTTAGCATGTGACAGGTGGCTCGGAGAATTATCAGACAGTATCCGCCGGTGAGGTGAGGCAGCAGGTGTGGACCAGACCTTCGCTATCATGCTGTAATCTGCCTCTCTTGTTTAACACTACATAAGCACACACAGTGTTTATCAACGCTTGCTAATGTACCTTCCTTTATATAAACTATTGACATGTGATGCTGACATGTGATGAACCGCGTCATACAAACTAGTGGTAAACAACACATGAATAATGTGTCATATTTTACAACAGTAATGAACGTATTGCTATTACTGGTTAAAAAAATACTTTCTTTTTGTTGTTGTTGTTCGGTAAGTGTAGACGAACACTTACAAATAAAGTGAAGGTAAAACATGGCGGGGTGTTCTACTACACGAATAGAGTATTATATTGTTACTCTTATACAGTTATAAATTGGTGATATGGTACTCGTTCCTCGACTATGATAACAACAATGACAATCACAACAACAATAACGACAACAAAATTTATCAGGATCATCATCATTATTATTATTATTATTATATTAATGATAACATTATTATTAACTATAATGAGTTACTTTCCATAATATGGTATGACTAAACAATCTTTTATACCAAACACAAAATTCTTTACTTTATTTAAAAAACAAAACCCAAAGTATAGGAAGGTGTGATGTTCCTGACGGCCATCAGGGGGATACTGGCTATTATGACTCGATACACAAGAAGGCATGATGGCCGGCACAGAACTTGACTGCCTTCACTTCTCTAACTGTATAATGAGGTGTCCCTTCACATCTGGGAGGACTGGGCGCGAACCAACCAAACCTAAGATGGGAGGTGAGTACTGTGTCCACTCGACCACTGTACCGGTGTGTGAGGGCGAGTTTAGAAACCGTTTATAACTCTTTAACATAGAAACCATTACAACAGCCTCGTTAAGTGATAATTTAGGCTTTGTGGTCTGTTTCATACAAACTCACGTCTTCCTTGTTTCCGTCAGGGCTGTGTAATGTGTACAGTAAGACAAACTTGTTGATGGAGACCCCGCGGTGTACAAGACCCCGTGGACCCTGGTACAAGACCCCGCGGTGTACAAGACCCCGTGGTGTACAAGACCCTGTGGTGTAAAAGACCCGTGTCCCTGTGGTGTACAAGACCTGTGGTGTACAAGACCCCTGCGGTGTACAAGACCCTGGTGTAGAAGAAGACCCGTGGTGTACAAGACCCCGCGGTGTACAAGACCCGTGGTGTACAAGACCCCGTGGTATAAGACCCCGCCCCCAGTGTACAAGACCTGTGGTGTACAAGACCCTGTGTGTACAAGACCCCGTGGTGTACAAAGTGGTGTACACCCTGTGTACAAGACCCCGTGGTGTACAAGACCCCGCGGTGTACAAGACCCCGTGGTGTACAAGACCCCGTGGTGTACAAGACCCCGCGGTGTACAATAACAAGACATAAGACCACACAGCCCGGGTGAACCTTCACCTTTTCTAATTACCAATTAACTCAAATTGTGGGTAAGTGGGAGGTAACAGCTGGACACGGTAGGTGTGCCCTTAAAAACACGACACAGTGTAAGTAGTTAGGAAGACAAGGTTCTCACCTGCTGGGGGAGGTAAGGAGGCGAGGTTCTCACCTGCTGGGGGAGGTAGGAAGGCGAGGTTCTCACCTGCTGGGGAAAGTAGGGAGGCGAGGTTCTCACCTGCTGGGGAAGATAGGGAGGCGAGGTTCTTACCTGCTGGGGGAGGTAAGGCGGCGAGGTTCTCGCCTGCTGGGGGAGGTAGGGAGGCGAGGGCTGGTCGTCCAGGTGGCGACGGGACTGCAGGAAGTCTTCCAGTTGGTCAATCACCACCTCGTCCCCGCTCACGTCTGTCAACAAGAACAGTTATGTTACGTCACTTCTTAACACTGCTGCTGGTTTACCTGTAACCCACTGTGTGGCTGTAACTCATAATATATATATATATATATATATATATATATATATATATATATATATATATATATATATATATATATAAGAATATTCATGCACTATGTATAAGAAAATTAGACTTATAATTTAGATTTGGGTTCACTGTATGTCGTATATTAATGTATTGATGTCCAATATTAATGAGTTATGTTCTACACCTAAAGAGCTTATGTCCAATACTTAACTTAGATGTGGAGGGCCAGGCCCGGGAGGATACTCACCTATTACTTCAACAACTACGGTCATTAAGCGCCTAACAAGGTAAGTAATTACATAGTTCATGAACAATTAAAATATTAAGAAAGATAGACCTCTAATAGGGAGGAGATGGATGTATCACGACTGAGAAATGCAAGGAGTGAAGGAAGTGAATGATGATGAAGTTTTAGTGTGAGGAACTTTGTCGACGCAGGAGGAAAAAACACGATAATGAATGACGTGTGTTGTGCCGGGGATGACGGGAGGGTGATGGATGGGTAGTGCTAGTGAAGAGGCAGATCATCAGACGTAAAGAGGAGAGGCGAGGTGGTGAGATGCTGTGCCCCCAGACCCTGAGAGCTGTGCAGACGAACACGGTTGTTGTAATGTACAGGGTATTACGTTCTTCCCTGGTGCTGTACAGACAAAACCCCACACAGCTTATTGATTCATCATTAACCTAACAACTTGAAGAGTGAAGAACGTGTGTTAGAAAAGTAAACAATGATTGTTCAGTTAGTTGTATTTTGTAGGTCATATTGGTGTTTGGAGGAGAGGGTAGTTCACACTACTACTACTTGGCTGTCACTCGGAATCAAGCATGACGATCATCCAGCTAAGATACGATGATACGAGTTATAAGGGATGTCACCTAGGTTGGTGAGATTTAAGGTGACCAAAGAGGCCGATACGGGACCCGCAGCGTCGTCCATATTCGTTGCACATGTGGAGGGCTCCATCTACTGTGGGAGGGGCGGTGGCAGCGTCTTTCCGACGTTGGTGCTTGTCTGCCTCGGTTTGCAATCGGTCTAACTCGAAAGTATTGACACCTTCCCGCGTGGTGCTCCTCCGAGCGTTACGATGTGGAGTAATCGACTCCTCGGTGAGGGGGTCGATTTGGCACCTTTTCAGGTTTGTCTTAAGACTATCCTTGTACCTTTTCAATTGCCCGCCGGTGTTACGTTTACTGTTCGTTAGGTGACTGTAAAGTAGCTGCCTTGTCAGTCCACTGTCGTCCATGTGGGTGACATGGCCAGTCCAGCGTATTTGTTCATGGATATTGATAACCTCGATGCTCCTACAGTTGGTGTCAGCGAGAATACTGGCATTTGTTCTCTTGTCTTCCCAACGAACTCGGAGGATGGAACGTAGACTACGTTGGTGAGAGTTTTCAAGTGCCTTGGGGTGTCTCCTGTATGTGACCCACGTCTCACTGCCATATAGTAGGGTGGGGAGGACCACTGCTCGATATACGTGCAGCTTTGTGGATAATTTCAGCTCCCTACAGCTGAAGACACGATTTCGGAGTCCGCCCAAGGCTTGAGATGCACATCTGATCCGATGCTAAATCTATTCATCGATGTCTGCGGTGGTGGACAGGTGGGAGCCGAGGTACCGAATGTGGGCAACATTAAGAGAGGGTAGTACCGTTAAGCTGGATGGATGGTGGAGGTGTGTTTGAACCAGTGGTGCAAGTGTTGCAACGACTGGGGAGAGGGAGAGTTGCAATGTACTGCCGATAGCCCAGTTTGTTGGATTTCGCCTTAGTAGCCTGTCCATCAGGCAATGCCTTCGTCCGCCGGTGTAGTCGTTGGGTTTCCATGGTGGTCACCTCTTCCGCCTCCACCGCCGTTGGGGTCTTGTTGGAGCTCTGTAAGCATGTCTGCCTGATGCAGGGCTCCACTGCAGAATTTTCGTTCGGGGTTTACTCTCGTAGCCTTATACCTACCAAGGTTAATCTGCAAGGCAGCGGGGCGGTGGTTGGTAGGCGCCAGGTCGTGTCCACATGCCAGTAAGCCTATGCGCCGTCCCTCTGGGGCCCACTGCTACTCCGAGATCCCCTGCTGATCGAGCCTGGGCCCACAAGGCACCCAGTTACCATGTGTTACCACGAGCAGGCACAGCAGGAGCCTTGATGGTGAGGAGGCTGTATACTGGCAGGGGAAGACTTATGCAAATTGCTTCCCTGTTCGCCACTAGGGATAGCCAGCGGCTGCAGCTGAAAGTAAGAGGGAGCAAGCAGTGCTTGCACCCTAACACTAACATAATGCTCTCACACTAGACGCATTTCACTACCCTGTGTGCGAACACACAAATAATATATATATATATATATATATATATATATATATATATATATATATATATATATATATATATATATATATATATATATATATATATATATATATATATATATATATATATATATATATATATATATATATATATATATATATATATATATTGTAAAGTAAATAAAACTGGGAGAGAAATGGTTGCATACACATCATCAATCACTGTGACACACCACCTGTCACCACCTACCCCTACCTGCCACCTTCCACCACCTATCATCACCTGCCACCAACTGCCACATGCTATGACCAGCCACCCCCAGCCACCATCTGCCACCACCTGCCACTACTTGTTATCACCTGGTACCACCTGCCACCACCTGCCACCACCTACCAACACCTGACTTCATCTGTTAACACCTGTCACCGCCTCCTACCACCTGCCACCACCTGCCACCACCAACCAACACAACACATCTCCCCTCCTCTATCCCCTCCTCTATCCCCATTCTTTCTTCTACTATCCCTTCTCACCATGGTTCTTCCTCGTTCCTTCCTAGTCCTTCACTTCCCCATCACTTTCTCCTCATTCTCCCTCTCCTCCTCCACCTCCCCAGTATCAATCACCTGGGTTCACCACAGCACATCCTTCACCCACACAGTAACCCCCCACTCTTCCCCCTGATATACACACACGAATAATCACAAACACGTATTTTTGTATTTCCTCTAAACATGTGAACTGTTGTGTGTATTTTTCCGGTGGTGATAAATCTACAGAGTGTTTGCCGAATAATGTGACCAAACTATAAAATTTAATTAATGGTTCATATGACAAATTGGCTCCAGTCATAAATATCTCCAGTCTTAATGGGCCCCAGTCCTATGAGGGGATGAGGGAAGGAAAGAAGGGAGGAGAGAGGAAGTGAGGGGAGAAGAGAAGAAGCGAAAGAAGAAAGGTAGTGAAAGGAGGACAGAAGAAGTGAGGCGAGAAGAGAAGAAGTGAGAGGAAGTAAAGGGAGGAGGGAGCAAGTGAGGAGAAGTAAGGAAAGAGGTAGTGAGAAGAAGGGAGAGAGGTAGCAAGGGAGGAGAGAAGAAGTAAGGGGGAAGTGAGGAGATAGGTAGTGAGAGGAAGGAAGAAGTAGTAAGGGGAGGAGAGAGGATGTGAGGAGAACCAGTCTTGCCTCAGGTTGAGCTACGTGATTTAAGAGCAGTGTGGCGGAGTTGGAATATTTTTGTGAGGGGGAGACGTTCTCACCGCCACACTCTGATGAATGTTTCCACGCCCACCATATTTCACCCTGTGTGTGTGTGTGCGTGTGTGTGCGTGTGTGCGTGTGTACGTGTGTGTGTGTGTGTGCGTGTGTGCGTGTGTGTGCGTGTGTGCGTGTGTGTGAGTAGAATTTTCGCAATACTTGTATAGGTTTGATTGCACAGGTACCTTAGCATATGTACTTGTATGTGTCTGTATATGCCCGTGCCCCTATATGTATCTATGTCTATATGTATCATTGTGTATATGTATCCGAGAGTCTATGTATCCCTGTAGCCACACCAACTAGGAAACAATCAGAGTGCCACCTGAAGAGTCAATTAAGGGGAGATTACTTGGGCCAATTAGTTCAAGCTTCCGCTATTAGTCTGGCTGAGGTCTGAGGCCTGTGTCGGGGTTCACTGAGCTTTGAAAGTTATATTTTCCTCCTAATTAGAGATGTGAGGAACGTGTCTAACTGTCTCACTTGGACTATGATACAAAGATGGATTCTCAGAGTTTCCTACATTAAGTTTTCCTCCTAATTAGAGATGCGAGAAAGTATTTTACTCTCCCGCTTGACCTACGACACAAACATGACTTGATTTTTCAACTATTTACTGCCTTTACTGTTTTCAGTATAGTACCCATTTTTCCCCATTTCCTATTTACCATATCCTATTTAGTACCACCTGTTTATTCCTCCTTTGTATTCCTTGGACATAATACTTCCTATAATACCCTATGTCTAATATGTGTGTCATTTAGTAATTATCGCTACCTCTTGGCGACCTGTGGTGTAATGGTCAGCATCCTCGCTTCGCAAACGAGCAGCAGGGTGAAACTATGGACAAGTTTCTTTACGCCATTTGCCGCTGTCTACACAACAGTAATTGGGAACCTGGATGTTAATCGATTTGCGGATCGTGTTCTGGGGTAATAGTTAGCCAGTGCAGTTGGCGAGTTGTCCGGTCTTCTCGGACTATTCCTTGACACTGGGTCATGCAGCTCGTTAACTTGGGGTGTGGTTGTTGTATTGGCGACAGCTTCTACACCTTAAACAAATTCACGCCTAGGTGGCCCTTGGATCGGCCATCGTCGATTTCGAGGGGCTTTCCATTATATGTGTGTGCGTATGCACTATCCGTCTGGGGCCTACTGCTGCTCCTAGATCCCCTCCTGGTCTAGCCTGGGCCCACGAGGTACCCAGTTACCGTGTGTTGCCACGAGGAGGCACAGCAGGAGTCTTGATAGTAAGAGGCTGTGTACTGGCAGGGGAGGACTTATGCTAGTTGCTTCCCTGTTCGCCACGAGGGCTAGCTAGCGGCGAGAGAAAGCAAGCAGTGCTTGCACCTTAACAAAATAA